TAGTTAACTTTCAGCCACACCAGCCTCTTATTTCAGAATGTTCACTTTGTCTGGTTTTGTTGCAGTCTGCCCCATATTATCTCAACATGTATATATAAGTAGTGGTTGAATACTCATAAATAAAGGCCAGTTATATGAATAAATTCCCGTCTTCTCTTATAATTTGTTTACTTTGGTATTGTATGGAAGTCTGACAGCACAATGTTCCATTCAAATAACATTTTTTAAGCTTATCTCTAAGAGAGGATGTTGTCGTCATCTGATTCAAAAGTCGAACGCGACCAAGGCTGTAAAGTTAAATGTATATAAGATATAATAAAGTATTTAAAATTATTCCCGTTTGACATACGCACTGTGAGAGTGTACATAACTTCAACAGTTAGGTAAGTCATTGGTCCTAATTCTTGATTATCTTCCTCAGACTTAGTTTTTGAAGATAACTATGACATTCGTAGTCAATGACTTCTCCGGAAACAATTGCGCCCTGATATCGACAAAAATAATCGACATGCATCAGAGAGTCAATGTCCGGAGGGTAGAGCAAAAGAGTAGATATGATGTGCAAATTATTATGCTCGAAATAATGTATAGTAAATCATTTGCTAACCATAATAATGAGAGAAACGTTAATTTCTCGCACTTGGATTTTTAACCTCATAATAATAATCGTCTGGTTGGTGATTACCAATAGTATTTTGTTTGATAGCACAAGTAAAACGTAGTTAACGACTTTTATTTGTCAATGGTTGCATCACAATTTTTCTAAATAATTTTTGATTGCAACAAAATGCTAATAGTAATAGTCACAGGACATTAAAATTTAGAACTTTATTGGTCACAGTCCCTCCAAATGATTTTCATATGATAATTTTGTGTACCGTGCGATGCAAATACTTTGAGATCGATCTCATCTTGATACTAAATATCCTTTCTGTTACTTACTAACCTCTGTATTTTCAGTACGTACAAGCCATACGCTTATTGCTTAACTCTAAAATAGGTTACTCAAGACCTCAAAAAGTCTTATTCTCGGCACTGACTAAGATTCTTCTCCATTTACACACGGTTTAACTTAGCGTAAGACAGTATATATGTACTAATACGTCGTATGTAAATCCCGTCACTATGTAAATGCGGTTTTTAGGAAACCCAAACGGGATTTACATAGTGACGGGATTTACATACGACATATACAAGGTACTTCAATCAAGATGCAAGAGCTGAACGATGCCGTAAATTTGGTAGAAACAACAACGGCTGCCAAAAGGGGATATATGGAAGAAATAACGAAGGCCTTGATTGGGCAACAGAGAACGGACGCATGAAATCTGTAAGTTTTGTTTTATTTTATTAAACCTTGTATTGAAATGATGAATCAGGAATGGTGATAAAAAATTGGTCTGGATCCAAGCCATGCTCGGTTATTATTCGTGATGGTACCTACGGGTTAAGTTACGTTTATAGGCGAGAAAAGAGAGATATTTATCTTTTGAAATATGAAACCATCTTATATAGCTTCTGATATCACCATCCTGTTAACCAATTTTTGTGTATTGGAAGTTTTTTTTTTTCACAATTTTATTATTCTTTTTAGAATAACGTAACTGAAGTTATTAGCAAGGCTAAAGTTACTTACGAGGAAATGAGTATTGATAAATCGATATTGTTTTATCATTTAAAAAAGAAAATGTCGACACTGTCAACAGAAACATTACAGCAATAAGGAATATTCTGGTAGGTGATAATAATTATTGATCGTCATTTATATTAATATAATTGATAAAATAAATAACTTATTATTGTAGGACAAGATGGTACGTAATGCGCTCGTCACCTTCGCAACGTGCTTAATGAGATGCATAATAGTAATTAATCCCCTACAACCCATCGCGGCCGGTGTTCTTGATACGAGTGGATCGGACAGCCTTTGGACAAAAATGGTTGCTAAAGATGGAGTGGTAGTTTGTCTTAGCCATCCACCTGAATCATACTTTCATTCAAATGTTCATCACAGCATACGTCTAATGTGTCAGAAATTGGTTGACAGGAAAAAGGCTGCGCACAGTTGTAGTGATGGTAAACGTTTCCTGATCGACTCTATCAAAACGCCAAAGGGTTTGACTGATGAACCAGAAAGTGTCAAGCTGCAGGTTCATGCAGCACACACGTTGTTGGAAAATCTGTAAGTCAAATTTATGGATAGTTTTTGTATTTATCTATTTGTTCATAGGCATTTTATCTGACAATTCCCAGAAGATGGCTTACAGTGGTGTTCAACAAATTTGGAAATAATTCGTATATGTGTAACTCGGTCAATTTCAAAATAAACGTGTAATCAATGGATCAAAACAAAGCTTATGTAATGGACTATCATTCCAAACAGACTTATTTTCAACTTACTTCGCGCTTTACAAAGTGTTAAATGTCACAATCCGTTAACGAAAGACAAGTGAATTATTGTTACGTCGGATGGTCTGGGTTTGGGAGAGCGATTAATCTTTCGCGTAGGGTTATTACCAGATTAGCTTCGTGCTACCGCCCTTATTACGGTAGTTGTTCAAGTGACTTAAACTAATAATTAAAGTGCGCGCTTCTTCACTCCCTATCCGAGCTTCAAATCACTCGTAATGCCAAATAGGATGCCCACAATAAAATAACAACAATTATTTAATATTAAACAGGGCTATCTTCGATTTGGTATTTTGACTAGTCAAATTCTGTCACTTGTCTCAAACTAATTAAACAATATTCGTTTAA